GTGGCCCTGCTGCTGGCTGTTCAGTAGGCTGTTATCTGGGCTCACAGCTGAGCTGAGGTAACCAGGGCAGTGACTCAGCTGACTGGGTAATCACTGCTTGTTGATTTCCTGGGGTGGAGGTTGGTGAGGGGGCGAAAAGCCCGATCACAGCCCACTAAGCATGATTTCTAAAAGTGCTGGAAGGCTCCACTCAGAAGTTCTGCCTGGATCTCTGGAGAAATTCATCTTGTCACAGAACCCTGGGACTTACAGGATCCTGTGAGATCCTGTCTGAAGTGGTAGTCAGCCATGTGTCTGGGGTCTATTGGACTTCCGCCAGTGGCCGATTCCTAAGTCAAGACTGTGAGGTGTGCTGGAGAGATGGCTCCACCTATAAAATGCTTGCTGTACAAGCCTGAGGACTTGAGTTCAGATCTCTAGTACCCAGGAAAAGGGCGGGGTGCAGTTGTACACTCCCGTGGCCCCAGTGCTGTGGAGGTGGGGATGGATCTCACTGCTCACTGGCCAGCCAGCCAGGCAGCATCAAAGGGCTGCAGGTGCCTCAAAACATAAGAGGACGTGTGATTGAGGCAGATAGCCGATGTCAGCCTCTGCCTTTTACACACACCAGCACACAGTGCACCCTTTGCCCCGGAAAGTACCCAACATAGGGTTTAAGAGAGTAAGGCAGTTAAGGTTGAGGGCCACATCCCTTGCCAGACACAGTAGGTGGATAGCACCCAATCCTAGGCCACTAAGAAATGTTATGATGATGGATGCAAGCTCGGTCTGTACCATCTTTGGAAATAGATTTCTATCTGGATCATTCCTGCTTCTATGTTCCAAGAGAACAGTTCATCTTTTACCTAATGAAAGGAGGATAAAGTTAATCTAAAATGTAATGTGCAATCCTGGGCAAGCTTTCTTTCTTTCTACCTGACTGTAATTCATACAACTGCATAGAGAAATGGACGAGGATTACCTTCCCAGCTCTTTTTAGTGTGTATCCGTTTGTGTCTGTGAGTGTATGCATGGGGGGGGGGCACAGGTGCATGTACTTGTGCTCAGGAGAACCAGAAGAGAGTGTCACATCTCTCAGAGATTGGCTTGGGATCACGGGCTTGATACCTGGGCACCAGATTTGAACTCTTTCTTTCTTTCTTTTTTTTTTTTTTTTTTTTTTTTTTTTTGTGATTGCATAGCAAGTACTCTTAACCACTGAGCCAGTTCTCTGGCACTGTTCTCACTGCCCAGTTTGTAACCATGCTATGTCTTCTCTGCCCACAAATCTTTTACTTTGCAGCCCAAACCAGGAAAAGCATGTGAATACATTTTGAAATCTACACTTCACACACAGAATCTGGAAAACTGTTTTCTGTGCCTCTCAAGACTACAGCACTGATTCTTAGGGTGCAGATACATTTACTTCCCAGTTAAGAGGAAAAGGAGGCAGTCCTGCTGGCACTCCGTTGCTAGCAAGGCAAGTCGTCTTGGAGACACTTAGCAATATAATGCCTGCCCTGGGGATGTCCAGCTACAGCCAGAAGGGGCCTCTTGCAGCAGCCTCCTCCTGTGATTGACACATTCATCTCTCTTGCCCCTAGTGTCCTGGTGATGAGGCTTGCCCCTTTATTTGTATTTGACCCGAGGCCAGCTGCACTGATTCCAAGACAGGGAAGGACATGGCGTGGCATCTGTCCCTTCAGGCTGGCCCACTGAAGCAAATAATTCCCAGGCGCTTCTCTGCAAGAGTAGATCCTTTTCATTGAGCTCAACACATGCCAACTCTCTCGCACGCACTCTTGTTTGGGAATGAGACAGCACTGTATTATTTAGCCATGAAAGCCAGGGACATCACTAAAGGTGGCCTCATGTTACTGCCTCCAGGGCCTATTAGACATCTCATTTTGTCTTTTGCACATGTCATTGAGATGTATAGTGGCTCATTACTGGACAAAGCCTTTTGTTGGGCTGGCCTGGCCCTAGTGTCCCCAGCTTTGCAGTTCTTCCTTTCTCTGGTCCCCAGCAGGAACACTGTTGCTTTGACATTGGCTACACCAGAACTGAGAAGCATACCTACAGCAGGGAAGATTGCCACTGCAAAGAAGGGTACCACCAAACCTCCCCTCAGATGCTAGCCACAGACTCTACTTTGTTAAAGTGTCCTGACATGGATCTTTGCAGAGGAGATTGGGACAGATGACAGTCTGCTACATTGTCACTGTAAGGTCAGGGGAGAGTATGTTCTGTGATTATGGCTTTCCTCCTCTTTTTTTTTTTTTTTTTTTTTTTTTTTTTTTTTAATGCCTAGGCAAGTGGCCTTGCTTTCTTCTCTTTATCATCCATCAGCTGCTATACCCCTACGTCCATGTTAGTGATCTTCTAGTTGTCTCTTCCCATCTTTAGTCACTCCGTGTTTCTGGACAGCTTGCATTCTCAGTAGGCAGCAGTCAGTGACCTTGAATGAGTTCCCTTTGTCATACCCTCCTCCTCATGCCTCTCAGCCTTTTCAGCCCTAAACACCGGGTCGCACCAGCCCGTTTTCTGTTGTAAAGAAGCTATGTGCAGCACAGCACTTAGCACACAGACAGGCTGTTGGGGTTTCAATCTGGAATGTACCCCCAGGTTCATCTTACAGATATTGGATGCCATGCTTGTGGTGCTATTTGGAAGGCTCTGGAACTTTTAGGAGTGAAAGTAACTAATCAGGGGAGGGAATTGGAAAGTCATATTTAGCCCAGGTTTCATTCTAGCTTACTGTTTCCTTGACATCTTAGATATGATGGCTCTCCACTACATGCTCACATGGCCAATAACTATACAGTCCCCACCATGAGGAACTGAAATCCCTCTGAAACCTTGGGCCAAAAAAAGTTCTGCCTCCACAGCCTTTGAGAGTGCCTGTTGCATGCCTTTGTTTTCCCAAGTGCCAATACCAAGAGGAGCAAGCATGAGACCAGGCTGTATACGTACCTGTAGCTTTCCAGCATGCAGATTTGGACCCTCATTAGACAAACACAGATTTGTTTCCAAATTGGGCCAAGAGCTAGGAAGAAAAGTAGCTAGACCCCAACCTAATCAAAGGATGTTTTAAATAATATTTGAATGGAAATCAGAAGAGGCCTAATAGTGAACCAGGAGCGAAAGGTGTCTGGCTCTGACCAGCCCTCAGGCACATTGGAACAAATGAAGGAAAAGTGTCCTCATCTTAGGGCAGATGTGGCCCCATACAATGGAGTAGGGGTGAGTAAGCAGATCACAGGCTGGGATGTAGGGCCCTGCATCTCCTCTGTGGGGCATCCTTGAGAAGAAAGAAGCCTGCACAGAAGTCCTGGTCCCCTAGGGCTTTGGAGGCACTTTTTCAGAGGAGCTGAAAGGCCCCGTCAGCTGGAACTTGGAAACAGACCTGGTTAGTATGGAGCCAGAAGATGCTCAGTCAATATCAGCTAGTGTTGGCACATCATAGTGTTATTATTCCCTAAGTTCACTGCTGCTGTACCAAAGTTTCCTTGGAAATGCCAAGGGTTCTGGAAGGCATTTTAACTAGTGAGGGGCAGTCACTTCAGGGATGTGATACGGTAGCGACACACCACTGATTTCTAGCATATGGACAATGGAAGAATGGATGAGCCAGACAATGCATATGGACAGCAGGGCACTCCGGGGGCAGAGCATTGCAGCCAGAAGAGCAGCTATTAGGCAAGAAGAGGCAGAATCAGAAGCAGCAAACAAACAAAAGCCTATCTGATGGGGCTAAAAGTGGAAAGTGAACATTAGGGAAAGGTTCTCACAAAGCTGTGTTTGCAGGGGCTGATTATCTCCACAGAAATGTCTGTTTCATTTCTCCATTGGAGGACATCCAGCCAGCCAGAAAGCCAGAGTCTGCTGCGACACTATACCTAGACAGGGTCTCAGTAACCACACTGTCTTCCTGGCTTTGATTTCTTCTATTTTAGAATAGTCTAAAAGCATTTCTTTCCCAAACATACTGTAAGGTTCTCTTCCTCCCCCCCTCCCCCTCCCCCTCCCCCTTCCCCTCCCTTCCTTTCTTTTTCTTTTCTGTCCTGGAGGTTGAACCAAAGGCCTTGTGCATGCTAGGCTGGCTGGCTAGTGCTCATTGCTGAGCATCCCCCACCCCTTGCCACTATTTTCAGTTTTTGTTTTGAGAGGTCTCACATAGCATCAAAGTTGATATGTAGCCAAGGTTGACTTGAACTTATGATCTTCCCATTTCACCTCTTAAATGGTTGTATTGTGTGTGTAAGCTACCAAGCTGGTACATGTGATGCTTAAATGACAATGCCACCCAAAAGGCTGGTGTTTGTGTAGTCTTGTGTTGATGACATGTATGTTACATCATCAAGACCAACATGTAACCTGAGTCCTTGAAAGGAAGAATGGGCTAGCCTTGATTTAAAAGCACGCACTGATTGGACCTGGGGAAGTGGCTCAGCTGGTACAGTGCTTGCTGTGAAGGCTTGAGGACCTGAGTTCAGATCCCTAGAACCCATGTAAAAAGCCAAGTGTGGTAGTGGGCAACTCCCAGAGCTAGGTGTGGGTGGCAAACATGAGACAGTACCTGGTGTCTCCTGGGCAGCTGATCCAAGGAGCAAGGATCAAGGATCAAGGAGCTCCAAGTTCAACTGAAGATCCTGTTTCCAAAAAATACAGTGGACCATAATAATGACAGACACTGGATGTCAGCCTCTGGTTTTCACATGTGCACACTTGGGCACACATACCACCCTGCTGCCATTACCACCCCCCACACACACACACAGAGAGAGAGAGAGAGAGAGAGAGAGAGAGAGAGAGAGAGAGAGAAACAATTTTGAAAAATCACAGGTCTTACCAGGAAATGCTAACTCAAGCATATACTCTTCCATCAAAAATGACATTTTTGCCCTCTAAGAATGGGGATGGATGAGGCTCTTAATCAGGAAGACTATTATGTTGTCAAAGGCATTGCCAAGATGAAGGATGGAGTCTCACAGGCCTATGACCATTTTATTGCTTTTCAGCCCTCGGCCACCAATCCCCCTCTCCCTGCTACTGACAGAAGAAGAAGCTGCAATCAGCATCCAGTCCTTCTGGAGAGCCTATCTGGTAAGGGCCACCTGTGATTGTGACATTGAGGACATTGGGACTTGTTGTGACATGGTGGATCAGTGGGAAAGCATTCATTTGAACTTGGATGCTGTTGCTCACATTCAGACCTCAGAGATAAGAGTCTCTGCAAACAGAGAGATTTAGATTCTATTTTTTAAATAAAAACTTATTTTGCAATTATCATAAAAGATACACATGAGGGTTGGGGCAGTTGTAAAAGTGCCTGCTATACAAGCCGAGGTCTTAGGTTCATATACATGGAATCCATGTAAGAAACTAGGCATTGTGCCTATAATCCTAGTCATGGTTGGGGTGGAGACAGGCAGAGCTCTGAACCTCATTGACCACCCAATCTAGCTTAATGGATGAGATTGAGTGTCACTGAGAAACCTTGTTTCCACAAAATGAAGATAGAATGTTGTTGAGGAAACCCCTGACATAAACCTCAGTCCTACTCTCTCTCTCTCTCTCTCTCTCTCTCTCTCTCTCTCTCTCACACACACACACACACACACACACACACACACACACACACACAAAACAAAAAAACCTTCCAACTTTTTAAAGTTGGATTTGAACTGGCCTGTGTTGCCTAAAAATAATATTGCAAGCCAGACATGGTGGTGCACACCCCTAATCCCAGCACGTGGGGGCAGAGCTAGGAGGATCACAAGTTCAAGCATGACCAGCCTGGGTTGTAAAGAGAGACACTACCTTAAAAAAAAAAAAATCAAACATCCAAACTAAACCCAAAAGGTAATGTTTCATGTGAACAGAAGAATGTGCATTATTTTGGGAAAGAGTGAGAAAATTCAGACAAAGCAAACACACTTCTGAGTCACTGACAACAACACAGCAATCACCAGCATGAAGCCTTAACATATGGACTGGCACAGACACTTCACATGGAGAAAATCACCTCTTCGGTTGTAACTGCTATTTCAAACCATTTTCCTATTTGAGATGTTGAGCTTATTTCAGTATTTCCATGATTGCAGTCAGTGTTGTGACACCTGTGGGCAGCTGTGTTTGCAACCTTTCCTGGCCACTTAACATAGGAGAAATTCTAGAAGAAGAATTTGTAGGTCAGAGGTGAGCTTCTAAAGAGTTCCTGATCCATGTTGTCACGAAGCCCTTCAGCAAAAATAGACTTTTAAAAAATGTATTGTCAAGGACATAATTGGAGTGCCACGTGCCTCTGTGTTAAATAATATGCAGCCTCTAAATTATCTGGTGATCAGAAAGCAGCATTGGCAAGCTTCCAGGTGAATGTACAGTGCCCATTGTGGGGCAGTGCCCCCTCCCACAGCTGAGGGAAGGCATCAGTGACACTGTTCAGATGCAACATCTTCCTAATGTGTAGTGCACACCATTAAGTGCATCCATGTGTAGTGCACGCACCCCTGGCATCTCCATCTCCAGAGTTTTTCTCAGCTGATGCTTTCAGTATCAAGCACCAATTCCTCATTCCCTTGTCCACTCCCAGCCCCCAGCCACTGGCAGCCCATTCTCCATGTTCATGGATTCCACTATTACAGGACTCTCATTGTGATGACTGAGTCTTCCCTGTGGACATTATAGGGATTCAAATAACCTAGGAGATACCTCTTGTGCACGTGCGACAGTGTTTCTAGAGTTTTAGTTGGGGTGGGAAGACCAACCCTGAATGTGCACAGCACCATCCCATAGCTTGGCATCCTGGGCTGAATAAATAGGAGAAAGCAAATTCATGTATTTCTGCCTGCTTTCCAACTGTGGATTCAATGTCATCAGCTGCCTCAAGCCCTGCCACCATAACTTCCACAACACGATGGACTACACCTTCAAACCACAAGCCACAATAAGCCCTTCCTGACTGTGCTGGCTAGCTTTATGTTAGCTTGACACAAGCTAAGAATATCTGAAGGGAGGAAACCTCAATTGAGGAAATGTCGCCATAAGGTCCAGATGGTTTTATGTGGTGCTGGGGACAAAAGTTAAGGCTTTGTGAATGCTAGACAAGCATTCTACCAACTAAGCTATGTCCCCCAGCCATACTATTTACTTAAAAAAATACTCTTTACATTTATTTATTGCAAGTGCAAATGTGTGTGTATGAGTGAGCATGTGCACATTTGTGACACAGTGTCTGTGTGATGGCCAGAGGACAGTGTTTGGGAGTTAATTCTCTCACCACGTGGGTTCTGGGAGTGGAACTGAAGTCATCAGGCTTGGTGGTGAGTATTAGTAATTCATACCAATTATGGGAAAAAATAAGCGATGCACATCATCGATTGGTATTTAGCCTCCTAAAATTTTCTTATTCACTTGTGAAATTTTACTTTGTTTTTTTATAGAGTTAAGTGTGCCCATGCTCTCCTCTTACAGATTGGGAGTAACTTCCCTTGTCAGCACACAAAGGTACACCCCATGATTGTTGGTGGTTCTGAGATATGCACCCACATTTTATTTCTGTGGGTAACTTGAATTAGTATCTGTGAACTCATAAGCAATCCAACATTCTATTTTTGTCTGCTTTGTAAATTACAATTTTATGCAGAATATCCTTGCTCATATGTCTACACACTTGCCTGATTTTGTCTGTAAGGTTAATTGCTGGTGGTGGATGGAGTCCTTAGCTTAAGCACCCACCACCACCATGTTTTATTGCTAAGTTACTCAAGGGAAGCCAGAGTCTAACCACTAGACATGTCCAGGTGCTCACTAGCACCCCATGTTTTGATGGTGCAGTGGAGAGAGGAAGGCAGAGATGGGGAAGGAGCCCGAGGCATGCCTGGGGTCAGTGGACTTCCAAGGACACCAAGCTGAAGAAAATAGGAAGAGTGGGCTCTTGCTCAGTGTGTAGGTTGTACACGCCACAACTCTCGAGGGTTATCATTTAGGCCCACAGATTGCTGCCTTTGAAGCTTTGAGAAGCTTGGACATTGAGTGTCCAACTTGAGTGACTGTTTCTTCCACTATTCTTTCCTTAACCCCACTGGCGTTGGCAGCTCCTAACCCTAGGTTTATGGCCCTCCCTCCCCTCAATAGCTGGAGACCAACTGAGGCAGGGGAGAGGCATCTGTGTGTGACCTAGAAGTGACCCTTTGTTCCAGAGTCTGTGGGTTTTCTTCCTGAAGCTATGTAAGATCTTAGAATCAGTAAGGTGTATGTATAGCTAATACTCAATGATGGTGTAATCATGAAATAAATAAGTGAATAGTCAATACAGTAGTATACAGGCACCAAAAATAATAAACATAGAGCATGTCTAGTCCAGTGCCACAAATAATAATACATAATAGTACTATAGATAGAGACCAGAGAAGTAGCTCAGTGGTTAAGAGCACTCTTGCAGAAGACCAGATTTCAGTTCCCAGCATCCACATCAGGCTTCTCACATCTGTTTATAACTTAGCTCCAGGGATCTCCAACACCTTTCCTGGCCTCCAAGGGCACACACATGCACAAGTGCATGCTTACATACACACACACACACACACACACACACACACACACACACAGACAAAATATAGAGTAAATCTAATAAAACATACCTATTTCATGCTATTTCATGTACAGGCAGGGGCCCTCTGGCTGCCTAAATGACAGGGCATTCTGAGGACTTTTAAGTTTTAGGCAATGGGTGTTCAAGCCATTTCCATTTGGTTTATTTAACCTCTTCCACCCCAAACCAGGCTTTTCTGTTTGGAAAGGAACTACCCTAGCCTGGTAGATAGGCATCTGATGCTGAACACAGCTAGGATGTTGAGGCTGTAGGCTGAGCAGTGACAGAGAGACAGCTGAGAATGCCAAGGAGAGCATTGCAGCCTCTTCCCTGCCACCCATAGAAGGCTCAGCCCCATCTGGACAGCAGGAAGAGCAAGCTGGCTCAGTGTGGGGCAGCTGACTGGGCTACTAGGCCTGGCAGTTTTTCCTTTCTCTGAAACTCACTGGAGCCTCCGAAGGTTAAATGGGAAGGTCAGTCCACAGGAGGAATATTTTCCTGGCTGGGAATACAGTATTGTGCTATTGTGGTTATTGGTTCTAGTTTTTCTAAGAAAGTGATTTTAAAACAAGCTGTGTGGCCTTTTTACCTTCCTCTGTGACATCAAGCAGGCTCCTGTCTTGGGCTTTTGCACTTATTGAGTCTTTCCACTTGCCACGCACCAGGCATCACTTCTCTGTGCTCACAGATACTTTTCTCCACTGTCTTCCTAGTCACCTCTTCTGAGGCAGAGCCCTCTGATCACACCCTCTCTGTTTGCTTTCTTGTCATCATCACCTGTTTTACATTGTAGTCAACAGGTATCTGTTGGACTATTTGGACTGTTTGACTGGCTCATCTGCTGCAGACTCCAGCACTATATTGGCACTGTGTGCTCTTAGAATTTTATAAATGTGTAACTGAATCCTTAAATCCTCTTCAAGAATGAATAACAAATGAGTTTGTTCCATTTTATGAGCCCTCCTCAGTGATTTACACAAGCACTTAAACACGAGCTCCTTGGGGGAGTCACTCATGCACCAAGATCCTTGACCTTAACAGCTGCCCCCATTAATCTCCTAGAAATGGCACTTGGGAAGAGGCTAAGTTGACATTGGGAGGGTGGGGGGGTGAATCCATTTACTCTGTGTGTGTGTGTGTGTGCGAGAGAGAGGGAGAGGGAGAGAGAGAGGATTCATTGTGTCAATGGTATGTGTGACCCAGCTCCTCAGAAAGCTTTGCAATTTGAGAAACTTAAAAGGGGTGTTGAAATGACAACCCCACGCAGGCTGGAGCCCAGACATCAGCTCCAGGTTTGTGTGAGTGTCCTTCAGGGAAGATGGAATCTCCTTCCGACAACTGATATCTGCCAGCAGGTGCACAGACCCTGCCATCCAAAGTCAGACATGGGATTGTGCAAAAGGAATGCTAAACACAGGGGGGCAGGGGTGCTTGCATCAGGTTACACCCTGTCCCCCTTGGCTGGTGTGTGGACCCCTCTCTGAAGCCTTGGTGGCTGACCATGCCTTTT